GGTCAAGTAATGGTTCACGTTTATACGTGTTGCCTTGGTATTGTTATCAAAATTTTGCCAAATGTCTATGAGGAGAATTTTCTTTTGTTCTTTTTTAATATATAAAGCCGATTTAAAATTATGAACACTTACCTTACCTTACCAATCAGACTAAAGCCTTGTTGTCCTCTGCTGTCCGAAGAAGTCGTTTCCACTCCTACTCGATCCATGGCCACACTTCGCCAGTCTCGTAGTCTGTGAAGTGTCCGCAGATCACCTTCTACTTGATTGAACCTCCTTGGCCGCTGCGGGCCTCTTCTTCTTGTTCCTGTTGGGTCGCTTTCGAGAGCCATTTGGTCCTCCACGAGCATAGTCCAGGTCTCGTGGCCGTAGAGGACCACCGGTCTAATCAGCGTCTTGTAGATAGTCAACTTCGTGCGGCGGCGAATTGTATTCGACCAGAGCATCCTCCGGAGTCCTAAGTAGGCTCGATTATCTGCCATAATGCGTCTTTGGATTTCTCTGCTGGTATCATTTTAGGCGGTCACCAGTGAGCCCAAATACACGAACTCATCAGCCACCTTGATTTCGTCACTGTCAATCAGCACTCGGGGGGGGGGAGGCTAACATTGTCTTCCCTAGAACCTCTTCCTTTCATGTATTTTGTCTTCGATGCGTTGATGGCAATTCCAATCCGTCTAGCTTCAGCCTTCAGTCTGATGTACGTTTCCGCCATCGTCGCAAAGTTCCATGTCATGATATCGATGTCATCGGCGAAGTCAAGAAGCTGGATGGACTCCCTGAAGATCGTGCCACTCGTGTCTATACCAGCTCTTCTGATCACACCTTCTAACGCAATGTTAAATAGCGTTAGTTTATCCGGAAATCCGTACTCGTGCATAATCTGCCATAGCTGATCTCGATCTTGCACGTTGTATTTGCGGCATTTTTGCAGAACCTGCCGAATCGCGAAAATTTGGTTCGTGGTAGCGCGGGCATCCATGATTCCCGCTTGGTATTGCCCCACGAACTCTCTTGCAAATGGTCTATTGTAGTCTACGAAGGGGGAGGGAGGGGTTTAAAAGTATCCAATGTCAGTTACGTGGGTTAAGAACAGCCCCAAAGTACGTTTTTCATTAAATATGACTTCATCATCGATTACATACGGTTTTTTGCTTAAATTCATCTAAATCAGTTAGAAATGTTGATTTTAAAATTGTATGAGAATTATTCTCATGAGTGCTTGAGCATTGGAAAATGACAAGAAAGCTAATGATCGGTCGTTTCGTCGCGTGATAGTGAGGGGAGCTGTTTTCTAATTTTCACGTGATAGCCGTGATATTTACCAGCTCTGCTCCCAAGCAACACATATGTTCTATAACAGTTTTTATAACTTTTATATTACTGGTTTTGGTTGTAAATCCAACATAATTCTGTTAATTTGTGTTACTTGGGCTGCCAATATATGTGATTTGTTTTGAATTAAGGCCATTTTCAGATAACTGTATTGGATGGAAACAAGTGAAGCATTTCAAAATCGTATAAATACGTATCAAAATCTGTGTGAAAAATGAACCGAACCGATATAACAGGATGTATGCTACCGTAAAGGTTCAAAATCCAGATACTTAGTCCACTAGTACGGACACTTTTAAAAATTGATTTTCAAAGCCTACCGTGCGCAAAATAGCTCGTTAATTGTAATATGGTCATTTAGTGCCGTTCTGAATAATCACGCATAGGTATTAATTACGTTGCAAAATGGACGCTTAACTAAAAATCACCATCTGGTATTCGGGCCATACTGTACTTATATCTACACAGCAAGTTGCCTCTAATCTGAGTTTTTGCCACAAAACAAAATATATTATTTAGACTGGAATGCGATGACACACCTTTTGCACAAGCGTCTCCATTAAATTCAAAGCGACGTCCAACTTGAAACAATAAACCACTTAATATTTCTTGAAGAGCATTTGTTGAAGTGTGTAGAAGATGTTTCCGGTTAGTTCTTGATTTGTTCGTGTTTCATTTTCAAGAGCTGTGGCATTCCATTTGTTCCATTTCCCCCCCTTTCCGGAATGGATAGGAGCGTCGTCTTTTTGAAGGTGAGCAGCAGATCTTGCCTTTCCCATTGCTGTCTGCAAGTTGTTGGGGGAAACGGGTAACAGGTGCCGCGAGAGAAAAGAGAATCGAACTCAGCTTCAGTCCTCGACGGATTTTTTTTTTTGTTCTCTCGTCAGCGTCAGACTATTTCCAGGATTTCTAACTTCAGACATGCATCCGAAAGCGGACTCCATCACGCAATTTGAAACATTTTGGAAAGCTGATTTTCATACGAAATTATACGTCTTCCTTTCCTGTCTGGATTCGGAATCCAGCATTCGTGCAGCTAATGGTTTCAGTTTGGTCCTGATTACAAACAAAAAAACAAAAAATTCTGGGATCGAGGATGCGAGGATTATAACTTCATGCTAGCAGATTATTCGTCATAATCATGCAAACTATGCACCATCAGCACAGGTTTCGAGCAAGTTTGATTTTTCTTTTGTTATTAGTTTCTCCAGTTGAACGATCTCCATTCGAGGGAAACACAGAAATGAGGTGAAAAAAGTATCGTAAAGGCAAAATACTTCAGAATGCATTTCTTCCGTTTGGATCAGGGAGGCAGTGGTGTTCCCAACCTAACAAAGTTATTAATGCGGAATACTTGAGATTCCGTTGATCTTGCTGCTGAAGAACCGGCCAGCCGCGGTGTTTGTACTTGCCCGGTGCATGAACGCCGTGTCATCCTCTAGGGACACAATTCGTCAACTTGGAGATTCCCGTTGCTTTGCGGAACATTTCAAAAACAAAGACCCAGTGGAAACAAGGAAGCGAAAAATTCTTTCTGAAACACAAAACAAAAGGTGAATGCAGAAGTATGTATCGGGTTTTGTTTGTTAACTTTCCGCGAGATGGTTTGGCGTAGGGCTACCAGCTGGGAAAAGTAATACGAGGAATCTTGAATGGAAAGTTAATAGCTCATTGGCCTTTATGCGATTCAGGGGTTTTTCGAAGGTTAAAATATTTCATTACGATTAAAACGGTGTTTTAATTGTGAATCCCAAAACTTGTTATTGTGATTATTCCTGTATATAATACCTAAATCATAATCCTACACACAAGTAAAAAATGGTGCGAAAAATGCAACATGCCAAATCATGCGATATGTATTCGCAATCATATATTGATTAAGAAAATCGTTTTTGTCCAACGCGATTCAAAAAGCTTTTATGAAAATTATATACAGAGCAAATCGGCGTGAGTCCCTGGCTGTGCTCTCGCAAAAGTATTTTTTCATTTCCATTGGCGTTGACAGTGACTCTGTACCCGAGCAAAGTCTGAGATCAAATTGAAATCTTAATTTGATGTTGTGATTTCGCTGATAATAATTACTCAAGTTGCTGTCGTTTTGGTCGTTTTAACGGTTAAAATATCAAAATTAAGAGCAAAAAAATCTTCCTGGGACATTACATTGAAAAATATTTCTGCTATCAGTGAGAGCAAACTGAATATTCAATTTGATATCAATTTTTCCTGTTGTGCTAAGGCAATGAAATCAAACCCGCAACAACATATTTGTGAAGAGCAAATGTACAGCAAAATGAAAATAAAATTTGTCAATTACATAAGCCGAAATCAAATTATGCTTTCAGTTTGATGTTGATATCAAAACTTTATTTCAATTTGCTGTCATTTTGATGCTGAACTTTGCTCGGGTAACTCTTTGCTCCTAAAGTAAAATCCCATAAGCAATGTCTGTATGAAACCTGAAACTGTTGGGCTTTAATTCTTTCCTCAACATCAGATAAATATAGCTGAGTACCCGAGCAAAGTACAGCATCAAAATGACTGAAAATTGAAATCAAGTTTTGATATCAACATCAAACTGAAATCATAATTTGTTTTCAGTTTACGCAATTGACAAATTTGATACTTAATTTTGTTTTCATTTTGCTGTACATTTGCTCTTCAGAAATATGTTGTTGCGGGTTTGTTTTCATTGCCTTAGTATAACATCAAATTGAATACTTATTTTGCTATCAACAGGAAAAATGGATATCAAATTAAGTTTTTAGTTTGCTCTCACTGATAGCAGACATAGTTTTCAATGTGATGTCACAGGAAGATTTTTTGCTCTCAATTTTGATATTTTTACCGTTAAAACGACCAAAACGACAGCAACCTGAGCAATCATTATCAGCTAAATCACAACATCAAATTTAGATTTCAATTTGATCTCAGACTTTGCTCGGGATAGCAGTACTTGCTGTTCCTATTGAATTTAGAAAAAAAAAACATTGTTGCTGGTTAGATATTACAACAACTGACTTTGCTATTCTCCCAGAAGTACCGGAAAGCGATAAAATGTGCAATTGATCGTATAGCTCCTCGAATTGGGTCGGCATCACCTGTAGCTCTAAAACATTAATTAAATAACGGTTGTGACATAGCAAGATTTTTTTTTTATTTCAGAAGCTCCGGACCATTAGTAAAAAAGATTTTTTGTTTATAAAACTAATCGTGGAATTCATGATTTTTTTTTTGTCGAGGATTTGCTGTTCTATTAATTTATTTTAGAAGAAGTTGTAATCTGGTTACGGATCCTAGGGGAAGCGAGAATGTCCTTCGGACGATCCAAAACATCCGTTAAAAAATTATATTAAGAAACTGACCGTAAATGAGATGAGTCAGTAAAGGTTGTCCTAGAGTAAATGATTTTTAATTGTTTTTATAAAAACGGCATATTTCTTTCTTGGATTATCAGATAACATTACTTGATTAAAAATATTTGCAGCCTTAAGCTGATTCATCTCTTCGAATATTAGTTTAGTAGAACATATTGATATCTCGTTTCTCGGAGGGTTTTAACGATGAACGAAAGACATTGTTTTAACGGACTTCAAATTAAGACGCTTCATATGCCCTAATTTAAATAATTGAATAAATGATGGAACATTTGACAGCTCCGTATACCATTATGCCGCTGTCAGCTTCAATGCGGCGCCGCTGCATCCATAAGATAGATTAGTAGGTGTGGCGTCGCACGAGGGGCGCACGCAACAGTCCCCCCCAGTGGTTGGACCCTGGTCCGACCCACTCTCGTTTACACCTACGTCCAATACAGCTAGCTTGGTTGCAGGCCTCTCGTACAGTCCAGTGGTGGTCTGAACTGCCGCTGACCGAATCTGTCCATCAGCTGATGTCTTCACCGAAACCACTCGGCCCTTGGGCCAGCAATTTCTCGGCAAGCTGGGATCGGCCACGACGACAATCTCTCCAACTGCAATCGGCCTCACCGGGTAGTGCCACTTTGTACGACGCGTAATTGTTGGCAAGTACTCGTCCACCCAGCGTTTCCAAAAAAGGTTTGCCAACGCCTGTGACGCCTTCCACGATCGTTGCAGCATCAACGGACATTCGTCATACGGGACCAGTGGCTTCGATCCGTCCGACGAACCTAGTAAGAAGTGGTTTGGTGTAAGCGCCGGTGATGAATAATCATCCACCGGTACCTGGGTCAACGGTCGGCTATTGATGATGTTCTCTACCTCGATTAGATAGCTTCTCAATATTTCCTCCGTAGGTACTCGCTGTGGCTTGACCTGGGATAGGACCTTCTTCACGGATCGGATGAGCCGCTCCCAACAGCCACCCATGTGTGGCGCCGCAGGGGGATTGAAACACCACGTTGTTCTCGGTGTGGTGAATTCCGCCATGAACCTGTTCTGATCTAATGCCGCTAGCGCCTCTTTAAGTTCCTTGTCCGCACCCACGAAGTTCGTCCCACGATCGCTCCTAATTTCTACTGGAGTTCCCCGTCGAGCGAAGCAGTTCCGTAGAGCTAAGATACACGAGCTGGTGTTCAACGTGGCAGCCAACTCGAGGTGTATCGCTCGAATCGTCAGACAAGTTACGATGACACCCCAGCGCTTCTCGTGATGGCGCCCTACAACGACGAAGAAAGGCCCGAAAAAGTCCACGCCCGGCGAACGAAGGCTGCCATCCTTACCTTCGGTAGCGGGGCCATCATCGGTGGCGCTGGTGCAGCATGTTGCAACTTGCATAGCTGACATTCTCGACGCACTCGGTCGTAGACCCTGCGAACTCGTGGGATGTGGAATCCTTTGCGTACTTCGTTCACACAGGTCTCGTGGCATTGATGATGATACCGTAGGTGAACGTCGCGTATAACAAGCGTCGTAACTGGATGTTCTCGTGGGAGTACGATGGGGTACCTGCTGCTCTCATCTATAAAGTCGCATTCGCCCAATCGACTGTGGATGCGCATCACGCCCTGCTTGTCAATGAACGGACTGACCTTGAACAGGCTGTTCTTTTTCTGGAGTCGTCGGTCGCCCGCTGCTAGTACCGCTAGTTCGTCTGCATAGACCTCCTCCTGCGCTCGTTTGATTTGGAACGCCTCCGCTTCGAGAAGTTCCTGCTGCGTAAGTGGCCCGACACTCCGTTGTTGACCTCCCTTCTTCAGCCAGATGTTGTTTACGAACCGTTGGACGAAAGCTGTTACACGCCGTATTCGGTACCACGACGAGAAATTCTCGGGCAACAAAATGGTACGAACTCTCCCAACCGAATGGTGCAACACGCTTGAACGGATTTCTTCAACGGTTTCCTGGCCATTCAGCGACGACTCCAGCCATTCTATTTTGGGTCTCCACAGGAACGATGGACCGTTGAACCAACGGCATGCTGGCTTGAGATCCGGTTTGTACCTCCACTTTGTTCCGTCGTCGGCCACGTTCTCCTTTGTGCCTATCCACTTCCATTCTGTAACATTCGTCTCTTCCAATATTTCACCCACGCGGAAAGCCACAAACTGGGAATACCGGCGGTGGTCCGATTGAAGCCAGCACATGACGTCCCGAGCATCGGTCCAGAAATAACGACGGTCGACCTTGACAGAGTGGCCTGCCTCGATACTCTTGGCCAAGCGCATACCGATGACTGCCGCTTGCAGTTCCAGGCGAGGAATGGAGACGAACTTGAGAGGTGCTACTCTAGTTTTGCTGCCAACAAGCGCGCAATGAACGTGTCCGTCCCTTTCAAAGCGGAAATAGGAAACGGCTGCGTACCCAAGCTCGCTAGCATCTACGAATGTGTGAAGCTCGATCCTAGCCTCGTCAATGCTGGAGTCAGCCCGGTAGTAGCAGCGCGGAATTTCTACCGACTCGAGCTCCGGCAAAATGCGTAGCCATGTATACCACTTCTCCAACTCCTTTTTTCCAATTTCTTCATCCCATCCGGTTTTTGCTCTCCAGACCTCCTGTAGCAGTATCTTCAGGAACATCAAGTAGTGCGCAATGAGACCTAATGGATCGTAGATGGCCATCAGCGTCCGTAACATGTCCCGCTTGGTTGGGTGCTTGATTCCGGTGAGAAGGTCCTTGTTGCGTTCCGTGCAGAGCTTGTAGCGAAAGACGTCCTTTGTTGTGCTCCACCACATCCCGAGGACCTTTTCCATGGCAAGGTCGGCGCTCATCTCCAACGACTTTTCCGGATTTGGCTTCTCTCCAAGGACTTCCAGCACTTTGTACGAGTTTGATACCCAATTTCTCATGTGGAATCCGCCTTGTTGATGAATGTAGCGAACCTCGTTGGCCAAGTTGATGGCTTCCTCCTCCGTATCTACGCTCGTAAGCATGTCGTCTACGTAGTGTCTATGGCGTATAGCGTCGACAGCAATAGGGTACTCACTTTCGAAACGGGCAGCGTTTTCGTTCAAGACGAATAGCGCAGTGCTGGGTGAACAGGTAGCTCCAAACGTGACAACCTGCATCACATAGTCGCACGGATCCATCGTTCCGTCGGCACACCAAACGATACGCTGGCTATCTTCGTCTTGCGGGTTCATCAACATCTGATGAAACATTTCAGCTACATCGCCTCCTAGGCCAATCAACCGCTCCCGGAACTTAAGTAGTACTGGTGGTAGAGCGTTCAGTTGATCCGGACCTTTCATCAACACTGAATTCAACGATACTCCTCCGAACGACGCGGCTGCGTCGAACACGATTCGGACCTTGCCTGGTTTATTAGGGTTAAAGACCGGAAAAATAGGCAAGTACCAGGTCCGATTCCCCATCCTCTGACTTTCCTCCGGAGTAAGCTTGCGGACGTAGCCTTTGCTGATGTAGTCTGCCATCTTCGCTCTTAACGTCTCAGCTAGTTGAGGTTCACGTTCCATCCTCTTGACCAGACAGTGATGGCGTCTCAACACCATTGATCTGTTGTTGGGTAGGCGCACATCATCGTATTTCCAAAGAAGACCGACTTGATAGCGCCCATTCTGGAACGTCGTAACGTCACGTAATTTCGTCAACGCTCGTTCGTCCTCTTTGGAAAGCAGCTGGTTCTGCGGAGCACTGATCCCCAAACTGTCAAGAGTGAAGTAGTTTTTGACGGTTTCGTGCAAGAGCTCATCCGAATCGTAAGAGTGGAAGCAGATATGGTAGCTGTACGGGGTAATTTTCGACGCCGGGTCATTATCGGACAAGCAAGTCCCGTAGATCGTCCATCCAAGGCGTGTCTTGACAGCAGCTGGTTCGTTTGGCTTCCCTTCACGGCTATCTAGGGGGTGGATCACTCGTACATTATTCATGCCGATCAATATTTTCGGTTGAACGTTACTGTATGGTTCTATTGGCAACCCGTCGAGATGAGGATATTTCGTCGAAAGCATCCGCATGGAGAGAGATTGCGATGGAAGTTTCAACTCTTTAACCGTGTAGACATCTGTCAGTTTGTTTTGTGGACATCCGTCATACAGGCCCGAAACGTTGAATGAAACTCGCATGGCATCGTCTTCGTAACGGCAGGTATCAGCCGTCCAGCGGAGGCAGAGTGGATGCCTTTCGCCGCGCAAATTCAACTCCTTCGCCAAACTTTCCTCCATCAGTGTCAAGGAAGATCCGCTGTCTAGGAACGCATAGGTTTGAACCTTGATCCCATCATTGTACAGCGTGATCGGAACGTATTGGAATAGTACAGCTCTGCTTTCTCCTCGATGCGTGTTGCATGATCTGGTTTCTCGGGAACTGCTCGCGCTGACGTGCTGTGAAGTAGAAGTAGTCGGTGTCGAACTCGACGAAGATGACGCTATCGATTTATCTTTCGCGTCGTTGTGCATCATCCGATGGTGTTTGTATTGGCAGCCGTTTTTACCACACGACTTCCCGGACTTGCAGGGACCTCGATGACTTTCCAGGCAGCTACGGCATAATTTGTGTTCCCGGAGTGCAGCCCACCGAGCGGAAAGATCCATTGCAACGAATTGTTTGCACTTCTCCACTGCTATGCAGTTGCTATTGCAGATGACACATCCACTATCAACGTCGCTTTGGTTGACCTTGGGAACCGTCTCGGTGTGTGCGTTCAGAAATCCATCGTTCTTCCGTTCCCGGTGTGTCTTGTTGTCGAAGGAGCCCGAGAACTGAGGCATCGTCACCGTGCTCGCTGCTTCTGCCAGTTTGTACAGCCACTCGCTAAACTCCAACAAAGTTACCGATCGAAGAGACTGACGATGGGTCGCCCAATTCAGCCGAATCATCGGTGGAAGACGATCTACCAGATTGTGCAGCAGTGTCAAATTACACAGATGCTCCTCTAACTCACAGGCCTTCACTGTTGCTACCATGTTGCGAACGGCCAGCGCGAAATCAACGAGCGTACCTAGGCGTTCTGCTTTGGGAGCGGGAAGAGTGTTTATCTTCTGCAGCAGCGAATGTACGATAATTTCCGGACGCCCAAACAGCATTCGCAACGTCGAAATAACTTGATCCAGGTTGGCTGGGTGCAACAGCTGGCATTTGACCGCTTCCAATGCTTTCCCACGTAGACACTTCTGTAGACGAGCCATATTCTCCTCCGCCGAAAATCCGCAAAGGTTCGTTGTGTTCTCGTAGGTTGCGAAAAACAAGGGCCATTCATCCGGTTCCCCGCTGAAGATTGGTAGTTCCTTAGAGACTGCGTGACGTGCGGCGATTTGGCTTTTATTGAGCAACGCCGTCCCCCCCGTGGCAGAAGGATAGTCGTGTAAGTCGTACGGATAGTACTCTTGAGCGGCAGGACGCGGAAGACCAGCATATGGGGCAAATGCCGAAGCATTCGGGCGCTGAGTATGATTCGCTTGAGAGAACGTCGGAATATGCTGATGTTGATCGGTCCGGAGAGAAGCAAACGTCGAAGCGATAGGACGGTGAATAGGTGGAGGTGGATTGAACGCTGGTATGTTCGAATGATGATCGATACGAGGAGGGTCACGAGCAGAGAAATCGGGACGATGGTTGATTTCAGAAGGAATATCAACTGGAACGTATAACTGTTGCTGTTCCCGATGTGGAGCGAAAGTTGGTCCGTCGTGATCTTGGCGGACTGGGGGTGGTGCAAAGGGAGGCATATATCTACGGTGACTATTCACAGGCGAAGAATGAAAGACAGGATGGTTTCTTGTGTTGTTTGGTTCGAAAGCGTTCCCTTCTGGACTACTTTGTCGTGCAGGAATGGCATTTCCCGTCGACTCGAGCAGAAGCTGAAACCTACGCAACATAAACTTGCGTTCGATGGCTTGCTCTTCCTCTAGAAGTTGGATCCGGAGTTCGGCAGGCAGTTTGTTCACAAAATCTGGATCGACAGCAACTTGTCTGGGAACTACTGGCACATCAGGATTCACATTAGGTGTTCGAGGAGTACGCAGACGTGGGGTTGGCGGTGGCGGATTTGGCGATCGTGGTGTTCGTGGACGTGGGGTAGGTGGCTGCGGATTTGGCAACGGACTACGTGGGGGTACGATTGGCGTTCGCGGAGTTTGCGGTCGTGGTGTAGGAACCGGTGGGATTGGTGTTTGCGGTGTGGGCAGACGTGGAACTGGTAGTGGAATTGGTGACTGCGGGTGTGGTAATGGGTCACCTGTAGGAGTTCTTGGATGTGGCGATTGTGGAGCAGGAACTCTGGCAACGATGCACTCCTGGCAGCTCCAATTGTGGTTGGCCACATCTTCGTTTACTCCGGCGCAGTCAAAGTGGAACCAACGCTCACAGTCATCGCAGCTGACCATGTCGTTGCTATCTGGCAGACGGCAGAGCGGGCAGGATTGCTGCAAGCTGTCATCCGGAACTGGATCCCGAGTTCGGTCCCTTCGTGGCATCTCCGATTGTTCCGGAAAACGAGAATTTTAAAACTGTTGCGTACGCAACGAAAGAAAACACTTCCGGAAATTTAACTCGTTTATTGGGCAACCGAGCGGGAACCGAACGGTTAAAATTCTCCTAGAGATAATATCAACACGGTTAGTTTTTATCTTCACACAATAGAATAGAGGTTAACTTACGTTTCTGCGTTTCTTAGGGTCGTCACCCGGATCTGCCTACAGAGATGGGCTCGAATGACCACGTTATTAAACCTACATGTAAATGTTTGTGTCAAATAGTATCGTGAATCCAAATTTACATGTTTTTTACCGTATTCTTCTCGTTAAACGTAAACTTCTATGTAGTGTGGTGCTGTACAATGATTTGTAAGTGGACCTAGATGTGTTTATATTCAACGTTCAATGTTTAGTCAACAAATTCACAGTATAATTGTAAATTCCTCACCTTATAGTGTAATGATGATTTTAAATACAAATTCAAAACTAATTTAAAGTAGGTTTAATTGCAATTCAAATTTATGCACCAAAGTTGAATTTTAGGAGTGATTTTCACTTCCTTTTCTCACGGCCGAATTGACAGCTCCGTATACCATTATGCCGCTGTCAGCTTCAATGCGGCGCCGCTGCATCCATAAGATAGATTAGTAGGTGTGGCGTCGCACGAGGGGCGCACGCAACAGTTATTCTTTAGCGAAGTGACACACTTAAAGTATTTGTTCATAATGAACCGTCATTCTTACATTCAATTCGTCAAAAATTATCTGAATTTTGGCAACATGGAAGCAGCTACGTTGCCTAACCCGATATCTCACTGACTCTTTCTTCAAATATTTTAATTAAGAAGAAAATGTTATTCTCATATCATAAGAGGAATATTTATGACTGTACGGAAATGGTTTACTGTTACATTGTTTTTTTTTCTCTTTTATTTAGGAGATTTTCAGCCACAGGCTGGTTTATCTCCGGTGTGCCCCGTGACATTTTTTTTTAAATATTTTAAACAGAAGAACATTCAACCTTCTTTGAATATTTTAACATCCTCAATTTAAATGTTAAATAAGAGAAGAAATTTACGAGAATATATATTTTTCCAAGATTTTTTCTTAATGATTTGTATTTAAGAAAGCATATTTCCATCCTTAAAAAGGAAATATTTCCTGTGTTAAACAATTTGATAAACATGTGATTTTTTTTTATTTGAATATTTGTTTAATTTAGTATCTGCCAATTTTTGACATAGAAAATTATATTTCTTTCATCAAATGTTTGAAAACTGAAAGGTTTATTCCATTTTTTGAAATCTTTTTTAAAAATAGAAAGTATTTTTTTTATTTTAGTATTAAGGGACAATATTCCTCTTGGGGCATCCCACTCTAAACTATAGCTTTAGTATCAATTAAGTATTTCCAAGTATCTGGTAAGTATTCTTAAGTATTTTTAAGTATTTTAGGATTTGTATTTTTTTAATCGTATTGACCGGTTACTAATGTAGTTGTTTTTTTCCATGATTTGTTTTCCGTCGATCTTGTTTTCCATGCTGAGCACCAATGCTACCGACGCCACAGAGGCAGCTTTCTACACTGGATCCAACATATCGACCCATCAACGGCTTTACTTCCCTTGATCAGAGATGTTATGCCTCAGAACATCCCGGCGGCGCCAACTGGGATGGAACCCAGGGCTGCTGGGGTGAGCGGTAATCACGCTTACCACTACACCACCGGTGCCGCTAATGTAGTTGTTTGTTGTTGTTACGTTTAATCACGCACTATTAATGCTTGTTTCAATAGTTTTTTAAATTAAGGAAGTAATGTAATCATGTGCATGAGTAAGTATATTATTTCTACTTATGAAATAGTTCATCAAATAACAGTTTTCTTTCAGCGAACCACTCAATTATTTACGATTTCGAACTGGGCGTTCAGTACGATATCAAACTTTTGAGTTCTATAACTTAGCTGGAGGCTAATGGTGCCGTTGTCGTCCAGACTCGCAACCAGATTCCAAACTGACCTTCCTAACCAAGCAGTCTGAACCGCAAGCTACATGAGTATGAAATTCTTTGCTTTATGCAGGTCAAGGATGCTAGGACTACGCTGGTTATTTACCAGAGATCAATAGCAATACAATGAAGTGTAACTGCTAGCAAGTCGTTGGGTTGGTTGACCAGAAATTGAAGTGATTGCAATTGCCACTGGTGGTCGTATCGTGCCGCGTTTTGAGAAACTTACATCTGTAAAGATGAGTTACGACAGACTGGTTAGGAAGTTGAGTGAGTATTTTGATAGTAATCGAAGGCTTTATGTGAAATCAACATGAATTTCTCACTTTTAGGCGTCGAAACCAATTAGGACAACAAGGAAAATATTAATTTATTCTGAAATATTAATTTATTTCAAACCATTGTTATGCCAAATACAACGATTTAGTTCGGAAACGTTACTTATTTGTTCCCATTTCGTGTAAAACAATCCTAAGTTAAAATATATGAATTTATTTCAAGCCAAAATATTCTTCAAAATATCCCTATATTTATGTTTTGATACGTAACAACCGTTTCTGATGAATGAAAGAATCAATTAGAGAGCGGTTCCGAGATAACACCAAGCGAATATGTTGAAACGGTCAGGTCCAGCCTTAATAATAAGCCTTAAGCATCGAAGGTTCCAAATCTGAGGAAATGTGATTAACTTCTCAAATAAACTCATTCGGCGACAATCTAGGAGATGTGGCTTTCCGGATGTTATAAGTGCGGATGGTGTGGAAAGCTTTCACAACTTCTTATTCAGCTTCAATCAGTGTAAATGCCAGAAGCTTTTGGACGAAAAATAATGTTGTATGGAGAGATGGTTTTGGGATAGAAAAATGTGTTTATAGGATTTGCTTCCACACGCAGTTTCTTCCATAGTAACTTTCCAAATAGTTCCTTATTCTCCCTTTGAATGACAGGTGAATCGGTTTGGCAATGCAATATTCCTTAAATCAAAATGGTCTCCTCCTCGACAAAAAAGTTGATTTTTCTAAACACGCATACACCAAATTCCAGATGACACCGGGTAAATAATCGAAAGAAATCTGTCTAACAACAGTGGCAACAAACTAGCACTAAATATTTCTTAAGTATTTTTAAGTATTTTCAGGTATCTTAGATATCAGAAAGAGCTTCCTGAGTATAATGCGAGAAATACAAAGTTTAGAGTAGGATGCCTCTAGATATTCCTTTTTTCAATTTTTTTTTTTATTTTATAATATTACGTTTTTCCTTCTTGAAGAACGGATTATGTCCTTTAATTTTTTTTATTAAAGAGCATGGCCAAATAGCATAAACAATTTATTTTAACACTCTACCATCTCGGATTCGCATGAAATTATGCATGACTTTATGTTAGGGTCAACCATTCACGTTTTTGCTAAAATTCGACCAAGTTAAGTCAAAAACTGGTCACTTATCCGGGGTACCATAACACGGCTGGATGTGGCTTGTGGACTTGGTTACCTAAATTTACTTCAATTTAACTGTTTTTTTGACGTAGACTACGTCTTACGGGAAGGTACTGGGGGTAAATCGAAAATCTAAAATTGCGTCAATCACGAAAAGGTGTAAGGTTTTGAACGCTTATAACTTTGTCATTTATAGATAAAATTAAAATCCAAATACACCAATCGATAGGAAATAACTCTCATAATCTACAGTAAACTATTTTTCAATTTTCTTTGAAAAAAAATGGTGAACAATGTACAAATAAAAAGTATTAATTTTATAACTGTTGTCATGAAATAAACGTTCTTCCAAACCCAGTCGTCATAATCGAGTGTAATTTGGTTGCACATCGCGCTGCTTGAATCTGAAAGCTGCTTTTGTGCCTCAACTCATTTTCGCTTCGGACGGAGATGACCAGGTAGCAGCAGAAGTAGGGAGGCAGCGGTTCCTGTGAAGCACGTTTTCCACCTCGAACCTCGAAGCGCGCGTTACCGTCGAGATCACTGGGCAGGCAGCCCCGTTGCCTTGATGGCGCAAGCGCTCCGAATTGAATCAACCTCTTTGTCTGAGTGATAACGCGTTCTACAAATCTCGATTACTTTTTCGAAAGGACATATCAGGTATTAAACTACGAATTTTATCGTCGGTTTGGCGTAACTGATAGCTCACCCGCGCATACTAACCCCACTATATCAGGTAGGAGAAAATTTTCCCTATCTGATGGTAGTGTTAGCATCCGTGGGTGAGCTACCAGTTACGCCAAATCGACGATCAAATGCGTTTACAAAAGCTGATACGTCCCTTCAAAAAGTAATCGAGTTAAATTTAACTCGCCAATTGGGTCACAACCTTGGAAGTAAAATAAGGCACCATCCATAAATGACGTGCATTTTTTTTTGACCAATTAACCCCCCCCCCTCGTAGCGTGTTTTCATTTACTTAATACATGGCCGGTCACAGCTTCTGAAACCCCTCTCCCCCCTTAACTACTACGTTATTTATGAAAGTTTCCATAATTCTCCAAGTAGGCGGGACTAACAATGCTACTCTCTTAGCATTAATAGAGATACCGTCGAATTTTTGTTACAAACAAAACACACAATAGGGATATTCTGTTAGCTAGTTGAAAAACGCAAATATTAAATTAGAACATCAAATTAAACAAAGATGAAGAGCCAGGGAGGCTAATAAATTAAAATGTTAAATCAATGTACTATCATAATCAACAGAAATAAACTTAATTTTACTACCACGTTTTTTTTTTACAGTGCCAGGTACTGAAATTCGACAGTTAGTATTGCAAAAAAAAGAGTTGAAAAAGCGATTTTCTCTTTACATTGCTATAGCTGCGAAACAATCCAAGCTGAACATTGCATTTTGTCCTAAGTAACATTGATCGATTCTCTTCGTCGACCTTCTCCTTGTATCCCCTCGGCCATGTAAAGACATTCCCAGGTATATTCAGCCAGGGGGCCTCATAGCGTAATCAGTAAAGGCACGGTAGTACCAATCTGGG